CGACGTTGAGAAGACTTGGATTTAGACAAAATAAAATTATTTTATTGTCCTATTTTTTTCTATATACTTATCTACATCACTATAGAAAACAGTTTTTTGACAAAATGGCTATTAGGGCCTCAAAGTAGTTTCAGCCCAGGGCCCCACAAATTCACGATCCGCCCATGATCCTTATCCTTTGCTTCGAAGCAAAAATAGCCAAATAATTTCAAATTTACTTTGTAGTTGTTAACCGTTTTTTTTTTTTTTTTTTTAACTAACTAGGCGTGTCCGGAGCAGTTGGCATCTCTGAAACGGTTTTTTTTCTTTCTGCATTCATGCTTGATTTTTGTTTTAACAAATTTTGATTTAGTGTCCTTTTAACTACCACAACATTTAAATAGTTTAAAGTTAAATATTTTAACTAATAGCGAAAGGAGATTTGAGTAATTGCCAACAATATCTCTTCAATAATTATTTTTCTACCACTGAGAAAAATCCTTTATGAAGAGCGCAAAAGTAGCAAGAATGAGCACTAATCATGACACAGCACAGCATTATAAATGTCTGAACATTTATTGAATAGTATTTAACCTTTGCATTAATAAAAGTGATAGCTTAAGCTTTTTGTTATTAACATTTATTTAACAGAAACAAAGTCGAATTGTTTATCTGTACTCTCCACTCCTACTATATGGCGGAATTTCGGTAGTTTTCGAAAATACTTTTGTTAGTTGTAGCAAATATAACTTACTACTATATTATAATAATTATAATAATTTTGACCAGCATTACACATAAACAATTTAAGTACATACATATAATAGGTTAGGCTGACATGATTGACTGACTGCATGACATAAGTACTGTAAAGTTAGAATTGCATATGCCTACGAATTATTTAGAAACAGTGGTGGGTGGTGGATAAAAATCTTCTAAATTGAATTAATTAAACTAAGAATCACAATTGATAAACATATAATCATAAACTATATAAAATTAAATAATCATGAAGATTATGATGATCGATAATATTAAGGAAGGTCTGGGTTAAATATAATATATATATTTACAACGCACGATAATCAGCCCAAATTGAATAAAAATTAAGATAAAAATAAAATAGATATATACAATAGGAAAATAATCCAGGAGAGAAAATTATGTCATGAGCTCTGTTATAGTGGTGACTCAGGTGTCCTGGTTGAAAAACGACTCGCCTTCTGGGTTGCTCACTACACTAGTCTTAGTCATACTACTTGGGGACGTATTGAGCTCCAATGAAATATTCATTTTATATAGTTTTGCGATAAGTCCCTTATGCCATATCCGGTCGAAGGCCTTGGCAACGTCGAGCATGAGCATAAGGGCGGTTACGTGTTCAAATTTAGCACTACTGCTGATGTATTCTAGGATATTTACAAGCTGCTTGGTAGTAGTTGATAAGTGCTTCCTAAAGCCATATTGTTGGTTTGGGAGTAGGTGAATATAATCATTGAGTCTTCGTTGAATAATTTTTTCAAAGATTTTTGATAACATATAGGAAGTAGACTAATAGGCCTATAGTTTTCAGGATTAGAGGCTGTTTTACCGGGCTTAGCGAATAGAATGCCTGATTTTTTCCATTCCTCGGGAAAATATAGGTTTTCAATGGTGGCATTATAAATATTAACAATTTTGAATATTTTATTTCGAGAGAGATTTTTATCATGAAGTTCGTAATATTGTCGTGCCCAGGAGCTTTTTTATTTGCGGGAGTTTTAATGATGCATGTGACCTCGTCTTCTGCTGCCGGTTCGATTTTGTTCTCAATATGGTTGTCTTGGTTTATAATATTATTGTAGTAGTCATTTATAAATTTATCGTTCATGGAGCAGGTATTTTCAGCATTGTTGCTGAATTGGTTCTCCATAGTATTTGCGAAAATGCTAACTTTATCATCCGAGGTATATACTGGGCTGTTTGAACCTTTTAAGGGCATTTTGTTCAGAGGTGATCTCTTAAGAGACTTGGTCATTTTTCAAATGGAATTATCACTATTGTTCAGACTTTCGAGTTTTTCATTCCATAGGCTGTTTTTATGTTGATTACATTTTTCTTTTATAATTTTGTTTAATTTATTAAGTTGACGTTTAAGCTCCGGATCGAAGTTTCTCTTGAATCTTTTTCTCAGTTTATTTTTATCCTTAAAAAGTTCTTTGATGTTATAAGGTAGTTTATAGTTGTTGAGGTTGATGGGTATGAGTTCTTTAGCTTCATTATAAGCATAGGTAATGGAGTTAATAGATATTATTAAAGGAGGAGTTTATATCATCATTAGAAATGGGGCTGAATCTTCGTTAGAGTCGGTAAGATAAAGGATGTTGTTGTTGTATAGAGTTCAGTCAGTTTTTCTTCGTTATCTTGCATTTCGAGGGTAGTAGTGATCCAGACAGGGAAATGATTGCTGCTAAGTTCATCTAGGGTTTCAATAGCCAAAGGTGAGCTTGTATTTGTAATCATGAAATCTGAAATATTAGGAGGGTTCGTTGTCGTTCCACTATGATGGAGATAGGTGGTTTTTTTCAGGAGCGCAGACTGTGGGTCCGAATTCTTTAATAAGTTGGTGCAGTTGTCTTCCAAGTTTGCTAACTTTTCTGCAGCCCCATAAATCGTTTTTACCATTAAAATCACCTAGAGCAATCGTTGAAAGGTTGGGAGGGAATAGTTTTTTCATAAAATCTGTGGAGAATTCAGTACACGGAGGGTTGTAGATGCAGGAAATTTTAATATTATTGTTGTTTATTTGTAGTAAAATGGAGGTTTCTTCTCTATTATTCTCAGTGCTCAGGTTGTATATTGATGCTTTGTACATCTTGTGGATAAATATCCGCACCCGCCGCCTGTGCGAATGATACGGTCACATTTAACCCTTTTGAAGGCCGTGGTAAAGTATACTTACCACCACTTTTAATTTAGGTTTCCATTTGCTAATAACTTCAGCTTTCTTGAAGTGCGTTTGAATAAAATTGGCAACCATTTGTTAGTTTTAAAAAAAACGTATAAAATACATAATTCTATTAGAAGTTTGCAGCATTTATAAAAACGATTTTTTTACTCGTTAATCGCAACACTATCATTTTTATCGTATTCCTTATAACATAAAAAAAAATCAAAAGGGTGTTTTTCTTCATTAAAAAATTTAATGAAGCGGGCTGTATCCAAAAAAAAAAAAAAAATTACGATTCTCTTGTAGCACTAAGTTTCTTGATTTTTTTTTGTCTCATAATGCTAAATGTCATATGTTTCAATGTAAAAAAAATTCAAAATGTTTTTTGTTACTAAATAAAATAAAACTATGAATGTTTTTTGCCAAAATATTTCGTCTTTCTTATTGCACAAATACAAAGTTTCGTGACGTGAATTTTTTTTCTTATGTCAAATGCCGTAGTTTTCAATACAAAAAAAAAAATGCAGTTTTTTTTATGTTGAAAATTATGATACTTAATATGTGAGAAAAAGGAGGTGTTGAAAGTTGTGATAAGCTCCTTCCTAGTCACAAAAATTTTGAAAGAATTTTTTATTTTTTTTTATCAAGTGCTTTTCCGCAAAATCTAACGTGGTGGCAAGAGATTTTTTTCAATTGGTCCAATTTAAATGTAACGAGTTGAATACATAACCTTTGCTGCCTCTAAAAAAATATTTTCTGAGGTCACGAATATTTTATATTATTTGGATGGTGCTTAAGGCGACTGATTAATTTAATAATGACCCATTGACTATAATTGTTTCATAATAACATTTCATTTCCTATATTTCACTCAGACATTTCTCAATGTGAGGTTGTAAAATTTTATTTCTCATGTTCGGAATAAAATATTTTTTTGACAGTTTTTATTGATTTGTTTAAAACACATGCATCTTGTACAGGGCTTTAAAAAAAGGGTATTTCATATTAATAGTTGCCATTTTTAGTTTTAGATAAACCAAAAGATTTCAGACCGATAAAAAGGTATATATCGTATTAAATCATGATGGACAGTATGTCTTAATTTTGTAAAATAAATACTAAGAATGAAAAATTAAACGGCTTTAACATTAAAGTTTTTTCTTTTTCATGAGAAGCATATTTGGAGATTAATGGTATCTAACGGGTTAGGATCAGTAAAAAAAAAATTATGGAAAATATCAAACTACAAAGACAATGCAACAATAAACAATATGCTGGTGTACAATATTTGAAAAAAAAGAGTGAAAATACAAAGATTACCGGAAAATAAACATTGTAATGAACCTAATAGTTAAGTTATTGTTTCACAGACAATTTTAAATTGAAATTTTTATTTCTTCGAAATTCTCAAGGAAAAGTAGAATTTACACTGAACTGAAGCTTTAAACACTTACTTGGAATTATATATCTGCCAACCCCCCTTTAAAAAAAAAAAAAAGGAAAACACAGATTTGCAATAAAATTGCAGAAGAAATTACTTAAAAAAACAGCAAGCATTTTCAATTTTTTTTCCTTATTCAAAAAATCAGCAGTACAAAAAAGACAGAAATGACTAATAGATGATGTAGAAATATTAAAAAAATAATAATAATAATTTATAACCATAATATATCTCACATTATATTTTACAGCCATATTGTATCTTCCCAGCTTATTCTGCTATGTGACATATCTTTAATCATTACTAGATTATTTTTAAGCTAATCTTAAAAATTAAATCGTATTTTAAAACTGGGAAAAGATTAGAACTAATAAAGGCAGCTGCCACCCCAACCTTTATTTTAAGCACAATTTTCCTACCACTTTTCTTTATAAAGGCAATTTTCCTGTTGCTCCAAAATGTTGCATTTGTGACCCCTCATCAAGGAAAGAATTAACTTAAAGTATTCGTATCTTCTTTCGAACAAAATGTGATTCGAAGCTGAGTATGTAGATTTTGAATTAACAAGAACAAAAAAATAGCGTATAGAAGCTTTATTAAAAAAATATGGATAAAAATCACAATAAAAAACAGTTTTAAACAAGATCATTTAGCACAATTTGTACAAGAAAGTAAGATTGTAAGTTCATTTAAAGCTTGGGAATACCAGCAACGATTTCACTTTCAATACCACATTCATCTTGTCCTCGAAGGATTTTGAAGTATCCTAAATCACAAAAATTTTAAAATTAAATCTTTTTTTAAATTATTCAACACAATACTTCACATACTAAAACCTATAGTGCGGCTTTCACTATGCCTACACTATCCGCTTTATACCTACAGTGCGGCTTTCAGAACTCCCCCAAACACCAGTCATCCCGCAGTGGACTGATCGTTAAGACACGGTTCCCAGCAGATCACCGAAGTCAAGCATCACTGGCTGCGGTCAGTGAGTGGGCTGGTGACCACTTGGATCAGTCTGCGTAGGGACAGAGGGTGTGCTGTATTGGTCCTCGTTAAACTGTTCTACCGTAAAGTGCTCGACTTCGCGTGCAGGTCATCGGGCTACCGAAACAGGGATGCCATCTCCTCTGCAGAGGATCAAAATTGTGATGGCGTGTCTTCGGATCATCCTCAGGGATGTTTCCCAGACCGTCGCCAATAGCCCATTGTGCAGCTCTAGCGCAACGTAAGTGAACTACTACTACTACTACTCCAGACACCAGTCGCGCGTCGTGGCAGATACCATGGTTGCGAGGAAATGTCACTTCAAATAGGGGTGTGGGGTGAATAGTTTTGTCTTGATCTTGGCATAGGTCAGGGTGAGAAAACCAATTGACACCTTTATTCCTCCATTGTACCCCCAATAGAAATGTGCTCTCACTTGTTACCATAGCTGCAGACAGTCCCGGACTATTAGTCTGGAGGAGTACTCCTCAAAGCCGCACAATATGCAACATATACAGTGAGAATATTTTGCATCACAATTAGACTATCACACAGTGTTTCATTATATTAATAATAATAATTTCCCTGGCAAGAAATCAGCCTTTTTTTTAAATAACAAAAATATTTTTTATAAATAAATTGCACATTACAACATAACCTACAATTTTCCTCTTATTTAAGTAAACAAGTTGAGATTTATAGGTATTTCGACTTATTTACTTTAAAAACTAGTTGTACTCATTAATCAAAACATTAGCTTTTTATTAGCCAATTATTTAAAATTAGAACATTTTAATACGTTAAACAAATGTTATTAGTTTATTGAACAAAAACAAGGAGTCATTATTAAACAGTATTATTTGCACAAGAGTATATATTTATCTTGTGCTAAACTAATGTAAGAATATGAACTTTTAAAATTGTTTTTTAAAAATTTAATGGCATTTTTTACTTAACTAAATAGATGTTATCAAGAAGTAATACATATGAACTCTTAAACGGTTTGAGTTTATTTGAAATAATCTACATACCAATCATAAATTTAAGCAAATCAAGTCAGATGTGATTGCTTTTAAAAAGACAGTGAAAAAACTAACAGACAGTACTAAAAACAATAATCAGAAAATGAATTAAAAATCCAGGTAGAAAATAATTTATCCTAAAAATTAAAACATCACATTTAAAAAATTCACCTGTTAATCAATAAATTAATAGAGTAAAACTTTTTAATACCTTTATCACCCCAGTCTTCATTCCAGGAATTTGCAACCAGCCAGTATGGAGTACCATTTTCTGTACCATATCCCAAAATTCGAACAGCATGACCACCCAGAGCCTCACCACTCAGATGTTTGTAAACACCTTAGTTAAAAAAATTAAAATATGTATTGTTAAAATACACGTTTTTAAATTTTTAATTCAGAAGTTGAATAATTTATAAGTAAGACTTCAGATTTATCATTAACTTTATCGTTTGGTACATCATATATATATATAGATAATTATACATAAAATTACGAATATTGAGTATCAATACTTTTTACACATTATTTCACATTTTAATATATATATATACATACACACACAGACACACACACAGACTCACACACAGACACACACAGACACACACAGAACTCAATTT